GAGCCGCCCTGAGGGGAGTTTGGGGGGGGGGGAATGGGGGGGGGGCAGAAGGAAGCTGGAAGAGCCGGCAGGCGGCCCCTCTTCTTCGCCCAAAGGGAAACCCGAAAGAGAAGGGGAAAGAGAAGAGGAAAAGAAGAGAGAGAGAAGAGAGAAAAGAAAAGGGAGAGAAAAAGGCCAGAAAACAAAAGAGAGAAAAGAAGAGAGAAGAGGAAAGAAGAAAAGAGAGAAGAAAGAGAGAAGAGAAGAAAAAAAAGGAAAGAGAAGAGGAAAAGAAGAGAGAGAGAAGAGAGAAAAGAAAAGGGAGAGAAAAAGGCCAGAAAACAAAAGAGAGAAAAGAAGAGAGAAGAGGAAAGAAGAAAAGAGAGAAGAAAGAGAGAAGAGAAGAAAAAAAAGAGAAGAGAAGAGAGAAAAAGAAGAGAGAGAGAGAAAAGAAAAGAAAGAAGGGAGAAAAAGAACAAAACAAAAAAGAAATAGAGAAAAGGGAAAAAAGAAGAGAGAGAGAAGAGAGAAAAGAAAAGAAAAAGACCAGAAAACAAAAGAGAGAAAAGAAGAGAGAAAAGGGAAAAAGAAAAGAGGGAAGAGAAAAAGAAAGGGAATAAAGAGAAGAAAAAACAAAGGAGAAAAGAAAAAAGAAGATAGAAAAAGAAGCGAGAGAAAAGAAGAGAAAAAGAGCAGAAAACAAGAGGGAAAAGAGAAGAGAAAAGAGAGAGAAAAGAAAAGAAAGAAGGGAGAAAAAGAACAAAACAAAAAAGAAATAGAGAAAAGAAAGGATTGAAAAAAGAAAAGAGAAGGGGGAAAAGAAAGAAGAGGAAAAAGAAAAAGCGGAAGGGGCACCCAGAGGGCAGGGTCTCTGGGGGTCTTTGTGCCCTTTGTGGCCCTTCTCTCTCTTGATGCTGGGAACAACCAGTGTAGCCTCCCTGGCTATTCTGACCAAAACTCAACACCTATCTCACTTAGCAACCGAAATGTTGGGTTCGGTTGCGGTCGTAAGTCGAGGACCACCTGTATTTACAGAGCTAGGGATTCGCTTATGGAAACTCTGACAAAGGCCTTAAACATTCATGGAGTCTTTGGGGGGGGAAATAACAATCCATCTGCCTCATTCTCTTAAGTTGGATACGCCCCCTTTTAATTTTCCCATAAAGAGACTTAAAATACACTTAATTGTTTTGGGGAATTCTGGGAGTTGAAGTCCGGGGGTCTTAAAATCGCTGAAGTTGAGAAACGCCGGGTCCCTGAAGCCCTCAGACAGATGTTGCGTTACATCACATCCCCACTTATAGAGTTTTATATAACTTCCACTGTCACTCTGGGAAGTGGGTGAGGTTTTCTACATACACAAACACACACACACACACACACACAGTGGCCTTTTAATTTCACCACCATGAAGCAATACGTGGCTGGTTTTACCCGCTTGGAGACTCTTTAAAGGGAGCCACGGTTCGAACACTCTATATCAAAAATGGAATTAAGGACCGTTGTGCTTTTCAGATGATTTTAGTGCGGTAGGTTTCGGAGCTGTCCAGGTGCTGCTGTCAGCTCTCTCTTTAGACTGGTTATCTACAATAAGATGGATTTATCGTCCAGTCTGTCTGTTTTATTTATGTGAACCTCAAACTTTCTTTGTTCCCTACTTCTCCAAGCAAATATGTGGGCCAGGAGTTATTTGTCAGTTCTGTTCACTTTGGACATTGGTGCTAGTTTCTCGGAACTGATCGGCTTTTGGCCATTTGATTAGAGCAGGGGTCTCGAGCTCAATTTCATTGAGGGTTGCATCAGGGCTGTGGTTGACAGCCACAGGACTGGGCTGGCATGGCCGATTGGGCGAGTGTGGCCAACTGGGCGGGCATGGCCGATTGGGCGAGTGTGGCCAACTGGGTGGGCGTGGCCAGCTTCACGCCACTCCCCAAACTGCTGGCATGTTTCCTCTTTGCATTGGGTAGACCGGGCTGAAGCAGTGAGGGCCCGCTGATTACATTTTCCAGGAAGCCCATATGGGCCGGATCCGACCACATCGCAGGCCAGATCTGGCCCGTGGGCCTTGAGTTTGAGACCCTTGGATTAGAGGCTGCCTTAATCCTATTTAAAAGGGGGAATAAAGATGATATTATCATCTTCTCTGTGGCTGCTCCGGCCCTCTGGAACGATCTCTCCATGGAGAGCTGGACCCTCACCACCCTTCAGGCTTTCCGCAAAGCCGTCAAAACCTGGCTGTTCCAACAGGCCGGGGGCTGATGAGTTCCCATCCCCACTCGAAATGTGTGGCTGTTGACTGCTTTTAAATTGTTTCTGTATTTTGTTTATTTGTTTTTATTGCTTTTTGTCTGTATTATTCCCTTCCCCTTCGGTTTGTTAGCCGCCTTGAGTCCCTCCGGGAATAGGGCGGCATACAAGTGTAATAAACCTTGAAACCTTTATTGGCAGAAACTGGGACAAGTAACGGAAGCTCATTCCGTTACGTGGCGCTAGGGATTCGAACCGCCAAACTGCCGACCTTTCTGATCGACAAGGTCAGCGTCTTAGCCACCGAGCCACCGCGTCCCCTCTCCCATGGATAGAAAGAGCTAATCTTATTTAATCTGGCTTTTATCAAAGTACCATTGATGTTTTTGAGATTCAACCTCCCTCCCCTCCACCTTTGGATTCATGGTTTACTAGTTAACTCTCTTCTTTAGAAGGCGAGTGCAAAAAAATATTGACAACTCCATAAAAGAGGCTATAAAAAAAGTACCTATAAGCTCTCACTTCAGCTTGGAAAAAATCAAAATGTGATTTGTGAGCATTCATGAGGTGTCAGAAATTCATACAAATATTACCTACCTAATGAATTAGAACGATTTCCTGCCAGTAACTGCATCTGATTGACCTTGTTTGAGCTTGGAAACTCAAGACTGATTAATACTTGGAAAGGAAGTCTAGCAGAAAATTTTAGGACTGTAATCTAGAAAGTTTTTTTTTTTTAAAAAGGCGCAGGAGTTGGCAGCAGCCAATCGTTCTGCACTCGTGCCAAGGAAACACCGTAACTTTATCGCTTTTAAGTCAGAGTGGGTCAAGCTCATCTTGAAGGAGACCTTAAAACTTTTAGATATTAAACTAATCCTCAAGGGATGCCAGCAGAATCAGTTTTGCTAGGAATATTTGTAACGCTGCCTTTTATTCCCAACTAGCCGATAACCCGACGTCGCCCAAGTATGTATTTATACCAATCCTGTATTAGAGGAGCCCCCTTGTGGAGTACTGCGAAGCCGTTAACATGGCAACTCCACTGTGCTGTACAGTAGAAGCCATCTTAAGGCACAACAGGCTGTATCTTAACAAAACCTAATATAGTTTAGCCTTTATTGTCATTGTACATCATGTATACAATGAAATTGAATCCAAAATGCACACTATCACTGTCAAAAGTACTGTGACTTGACACTACAATTCAGTCCTTTTCATTTCAGTGGCCCAGGACACACACACACATACCCATTTATATATGTTATATATAATGAGGCTGGGGAGCGGTCACACGCACATATGCACGGGAGTGTGCACACATGCTCAGGTTGGTGGGGAGGATTCAGTGGGCACACGCATGGGGCACGTTAACATTTATTTTTAGTTACGTTTCCCTGCAATATTACAATCGACAGAATCACAGCAGTGAAAATGTCTTCTAACGTCACCGATAAACTTTACTGAGGATGACTCCATCGTTAAGCAAAGCGGTTGCTAAGGGACACAATGATCTTATTTCAGCTTTCCTTTGCTTTACAAGCCTGCGAAGGTTGTGCACACAAGGGCTTGGTGTCAAGTTACTTTTTCATCAATGTTGAAATTGCAAACCGTTACTAAATAAAGGACCGGCTGTAGTAAGAATTTCGGTAATCAGGAAAATAGGGGTGGAATCCTTTTCCTTCAGAGTTTATTTTTCTTCTCTACAAAACAATTCCCAACATTGGCAAAGACTTTTTTTAGGTCATAGTTGCTGACTAAGATAAGTCCTCTATACAATTCCATTAAGCCTTCCTTATTAAGCTTTGTGACAACAATCTAAAAATAACTAGGGTAAATGTATTAACTTTGGCAAGAGATTTTAACATGCCCGAAAATACTCTCTCCCAAACACTTAACATGCAAAAGGCTATTTCTGTTGTTGTTATTATTATGGTTTTCCTTTTAAAGAAAAGTTGTGGCACTTCAGACCACATGAATATTGATATTGGAAGGAAGCGATTTACGTTTCCGTGAAAAATAACAAAGTATATGTATCAGTATAAAATGAGAAATTATCAGTTCAGCTGAGAAAAATGTCATCTGCCAAAAATGTGGTTGAAGCATACAGAAATAGTAAATTTTCTAGCATGAAGTCTAATGACAGCAAATGCCTAAAATGTTTTGTTATTTCTTAAGCAAGATAATTTTCAATGGTAAACTAACACAGGCAAAATTCACCTCTAAAAGAAATGTAGGCAGGTGTCTCTATTTCTGTGTATAAGATAATGGAAATAAACAATATCTATAAAGGTAAACCAAACCGATCTCACTTGAAAATAGATAGTCTTTTCTAAAAGACTTCAACAAACTTAGCAATACTTTAAGGAGGATTCCATGGATGGAAGTCTTAAAGGGGCAAACAACTCAAAAGGCTTGGGAAACTCTGAAAATTGAGATTATAAAAGCCCAGTCTAACACAAAGGTATTGAGAAGAAAAACAAGAGTCCCCAGATGAAACCAGCAGGATTGTATCAAGAGCACTCGCTAGTAACACGGTCGTGAAGTGAATCCACTTCTCAGAAGGGATTCACATGACACCACCACCCCCCAGGACACAGCAACCATCATAAATATGAATCCGTTGCTGAATTTTGATCGCGTGACCATGGGGATCCTTCAAAGGTCGAAACTGTGAAATCATCCAGAAGTCACGATTTTCAGTGCCACTGTAACTGTGAATGGTCACTAAATGAACTGTTAAATTCAGGAATCACCTATATAAGACTTTTGGCATAAGTGAACAAATGGGATTCTTCTGGTATTATTAACCAGTAAGTTTAAACTCTTTGATTAAACCTGGATACACCAGGGAGAGCTTTCCATGATAAGAGCTAACATTTAAAAAAGTACTCTGTACTTTAATACCTGTGGTCAGCACTGAGCCAGCACTGTCCAAAGACGTCTCCGTGGTCATGTGGCNCTTCGGTGTTGAGTCATGCCGGCCACATGACCACGGAGATGTCTTTGGACAGCGCTGGCTCTTCGGCTTTGAAAGGGAGATGAACACCACCCCCTAGAGCCAGGAACGACTAGCACGCATGTGCAGGGGAACTTTTACCTTTATCTATAATATCAAAACTATTCAGAATTATCCAAGACTTTCTGCGTTAAAATTAAGCAAAGTTTTGCTTTATCAAATAGAATTTCCTAAATACAATTCTTGAGATATTCCAAGGCCAAATGTGAGGATTCCCTTCTTTAAAACAAATTGCATTGCAAATGCTTTTTCCCCTCCTATATATAGACATATATTTCCGGAATTGCAACAAGCAAAATAAAATAATGCATGGAGATTCAAAAGTTAAACTCTGTAGCATTTTGCAACAAGCAAGATAAAATAATACATGAAGATTCAAAAGTTAAACTCTGTAGCATTAATACTCAAGTTTGGGGGGGAAATTCTGCTAACGAATTTGCAAGTCTTATGTTGTATTATGTAAGCGGTGTTTTGTTTACGTACAATTTTATTGTGTCCCCTGCTCTGCCAGGAAATATTTAGCAAGCTCTGTCCTGAACCTCTATTGATATTTAAAAAGGCTGCATTTATATGGCATTAGATGTTCACAAAGTACTTGTATTGATTTAGGAAGAGAAATCTTATTTTCCAGACTCTTTTTATAAGCCTTTGTGTGATATATTGAAATGTGAGGATTCCCTTCTTTAAAACAAATTGCATTGCAAATGCTTTTTTTCCCCTCCTATATATAGACAGAAATTTCCGGAATTGCAACAAGCAAAATAAAATAATGCAACGTATCTCAAACTTAAGCCAGGGCTAGATTATGCTAAACCATCTCTTAAAAATAGCAATTCTTTCATTTCCAATTGCAAATAAGTAATGAGGATTCAATTGCTATTTTCTAACATGACAGTAAGACCAGAAAATTTAGAATGTATCTTGCCATACACTTTTTCTTTTCATTTACAAACGCAGCTTAAATTTGGCCATCTGTAATATGGTTTATATAAGGCTACCACTGATAATATTAAATAGCCCAGAATCGTGCCACTAAAATTCTGACTGGTGCAAAGTTTGGGGATTGTGTGATTCTTTTCCTGTATCACTGCACTGGCTGCATGGTCTACAGATGCAATTAAAAAGCAGATTATTATGAAATGACTTTCTCCACTTATTAATACAAGCAGGATACCAACGTAAGATATTGCAACCTATGAATCACCAAATGTAGTACAGTATATATCCTGAAGCCTAAGGTAAGAAGGAACACAAAAACTTTGCAAGAAAGAAATGTTACCATCTTAAATCGTACTTTAAGACTTTATTTATTTTGGTGTCATACTTTTACGTTGTCTCGATTTATAGTAACTAATGTGTCAATCTTAACCCAACAGACTGCATAAGCAGTCACACAAGAATCCACAAGCATTATAAATTTATTGTGGAAAAACTCAGAAGCCATTACTAAAGCATTCCAGTGGACTGGCCTTGTATCAAATGGAAGCTCCATAACTAACAGAGTTTACATTTCTTGTGCTTTTCCCAATTCTACATAACCATGTAATGCAGAAGCAAAACACTTTTGAGAAAAAGACTTGGTTTTCATCTGGATTGATCTACAAACAGATTGTTTACTGTTAATAAACGTGTGAGAAACCAACATTCACAGCAAATGAAAACAAGTTTATGTAAACAACTGCTTGAAAATACTACTTGCTTTAATTTATTGATAATTAAGTTGGTTCTTTTATTCTGACAATGCTTTTCAGTTGGGAAATTGTGTTCTAATTAAGAAAAGTTATTATTTTAAGGCCTGTTTTTAGATGGTGTTATGAAAGCATCTGTTTCTTTTTTTAAAAAAAGATAATTGGGATAGTTTATGAAAAGGAAAAACAAAAAAAAGCTTGCATTTCTTGTGCTAATACATTCCCTTTTTTTCTACCTGACATTAGCCTCCTGCACTTATTTAAGTAAAATGTAAACTTTTCAAAGGTTTATAGACCGGCTAAAAAAAGAACATCCTTCTACACTATCATTTTGGCTCTCGATAGAAATAAAACAGGTTGGCAATGAAGTGGGCAGATTTATTACTTTCCCAGTTAGAATACAATTTCGCTATCAAAAGGTTATTTGCAAAAGTGCATTACGTGCATCGGTACCAAAGTTCAAAATTATGTACTGAAACCGTTTTTTAATTAAAAAGAATCGGATTTAAACTTGATATTGTTAAACATAAATCAAGGAGTGAAAAGATTCATCGGACAGTACAGAAGTTGCTGCATAGATGGGAGGGGGGGATTAGGAATTGTCCTTTCCTTATTGCCTACGGGAATTATTTCATCCTGAATGTTTTGCTCCTTTTTTCATGTTTGCTACGAAAAACACGCTGCCGTCTTTTCTAAAGCTATTATTATAAAATCGGCTAGATTGCAATGTACGTTGAACGACTTTTCATGTTTAGCCAGACGTAGGAGAAGAGAAAAGAGGAAAAACTGGCATCAGGAGGAGGGTGGCTTCCACCACCGCTTAACTGGGGACCACTTCTTCAATGCCCACCCTAGATCTGCAAAGTCATCCATCACCCTGACTCAACCCCCAGCCACCTTCCTCACTCTGGGTGCTAATAAATATTTCCTCCTCGCCAGAGAAGAGTTCGATACTCATGCGGAAGGGGCAACTAACATAGTTGTCAGGGCTGGGCAAGGCATCATCAATAATATTCTGTGTGCCCCCAACGGTCTCTGAATGGTCTCTCTCCCTTCTTCCTTTCTCTTGCTGTTCACATCCAGGGATCTTTCCCTTGTAAAAAGACAACTCCTGGAAGGAGGAGGAGGAGGAGGAGGANCCCATGCCACGGCAACGGGGGAGCCAGTCACAATTTCCACTAGCGGTTCGCCCAAACCGATGCGAACAGGTAGCAACCCACCTCTGTCGCATATGCCTGTCATAAATATTTCAATCAGGTTGCTAACGAAAGCTAGCAGATGTCAAAAGACTTCTAGTATCCCTTCAGGAGGAAAAAACGAGGCTAGGACAGAGCCATTTCTGCTTTTTGCCCTGAAATTGGCAAGATTTTAACTTGCGCTGTAAAACTGGCATTAATTTACCCCGTTATCTAGCAGCCGCAAACGTGTTTAAGAAAGGGGGGAATTATCCAGAGACTTCCCTTCCTTTTATTTTGGAGGACGTTACCTGCATGAAGTAACCGGTCACCAAGGCTTTTCGTATATTGATGTAATAGTCCCTGCTTGTGAAGTCTGTGCTTCTACGTGGCAAATTAAACCTGTCCATGATTCGTGACAGCTGTTGGCGTACGTTGTCCGCTGACATCAAGGACCTGTAGTTAATGAAGTTGTCATAGCACCATTGAACCGATTCATGATCTGCAAACGTTTAAAAAAAGAAAGAAAGAAAGAGGCATGAATCATCTGAAACTCAGCATTTTAATACCCAATTAAAAACACACACACAGAGACAATCAGAAAACCAGCCGGATGGCCAAATCAAGCCAGCCAATTAAACTCTTGAATGATGGGTTTTTTTTCAGTGATATGTTCTCTCTCTCTCTTTTTTTTAAATTTGCTGCAGCACCAAGGAAATAAGCCCCAAATTGTTTAATTTTTCTCCCTCCCCCCCAAGGAAGCCGGGACAATAGGAAGCAACAAGGGAGAATCAAGTAAACCGAAGGAAGTGAGGATGGGTTGGCATGTAAAATAAAATCTTGTCTTATGCAGTCTGTAAAGTCCCACCAGGCCCAGCCAACTAAACATGAGGATGCTCAATTGACTTCACAGACCCGGGATCCATTTCCCCCCCACCCAATAGTGTTTTTATAAGAATATCAAGAATCTATATAACCTAGTTCCCTTTGGTGACTAACCAGCATTTTATTCCATACAAATGCAAAATCCATTCAGCAATATATAGCTACCATATTTCCTCCAAAATAAGGGCCTTATTTTCTTTTGACCCCTGAAATAAACGCTTGGCCTTATTTTCGGGGAGGTCTTATTATTTTTGAGGTGCAGGAGGCGGNATTGTTGGGGGCAATATGCTGACTCTCTGTAAACCGCTTAGAGAGGCCTGAAAGGCCTATGAAGCGGTATATAAGTCTACTGCTATTGCTATTGCTATAAAACACAAACTGTTTGATGAAAATTGGATGTTATATAAATAAAACAAAACATTAAAAAAAAAAACAGTTGAGTGTGACACGGTCAATAGCAATGGCTCAGCTAGTTGTAGCAGCAGCGTCTCATAGTAAAGGGTAACCAAGTACTCAACGGAGTTTTGATTCCTCTTACGTAATGCAAACACGCTATATATTTTTACGCATTCAAGTCGAAAGCTAATATTCAACTGGCAGAAGTTAAACCAAAGGGTAATGATTCATACAGATAACAAAATAAATATACAAAATAAAAGGACGATCTAGTGGAATCCCACTAGTTCTCTAAAATCCCAACTTTCGACTAACCCACTTGCCAAATATTTTGGTGCAATATTAGCAGTCGTGAAAAGACGCTTTCTTATACATGGTGATGGGTAAAAGGGCGGATAGAAGCAGAAGCAGATGAAGCCCTAAGACAAATATGCTACCGTTGGTTGCTTCCTCATGAATTCGGGGTAGGTAGGTTAATCAATCAATCAGAATAGAGCTGGAAGGGGCCTCGGAGGTCTTCTAGTCCAACCCCCTCTTTAAGCAGGAGACCCTATACCATTTCAGACAAGTGACTGCCCAGACTCTTCTTAAAAACCTCCAATGATGGAGCACTTCTGGAGGCAAGTTGGCCAACTTTCGTCCCAATGTAGGCACTTCCCTGTCAACTGGGGATTGTGTTACCAATAAAAAATAAAATATCCCAGCTTTGGAGACAAACCGTCTTACTTACCATTCTGGCTTGATGTCTGTACAAGTGCGAATGTAGTTCTTTGTGGTAAGAACAAATTCATTGTAAAGCACCCATTCCGGCTTGTGGTCGAGAACTGTCGAGGGATGCAGCTGCACCACCTGGTTATCCTTCACCGTCAGGTAATGTCCCGTCCTTTCCAAATGTGCCACCTACGAGAACGAGATGATGATGATGACAGGTGACTTTCTCAAGCCAAGATGCGCATTAAGAGCGGTCACGCTTTAGGCTTACAAAATGATTTCTGTGCTCCTGGAAGTCTCTCGGGGGGGGGGGGGGGGGCGCGGGAGGAGGGGGGGGAAATCTGTCAGCAGGAATGAAAAAACCCCCAAAATCTGAGAATGTGATTCCCCCCCACCCCAAGAAGGACACTACGTAAGACTGCGTAAGTATCCCTTTCTTGTGTCGCTAACCCTTCGCTGGACCGCAAGGACTTTCCATTTTACACCGTTTGAATTTAATTCTGGAGAAAGGCAGCTGTTTTCTTGCAAGGGGGGGGGGGTTCTTCAATCAAACATCTGATCAGATCCGGGGCCTTCTCTTGCTCTCCTTTTCTAAAACGTAGATGCCTCCAACCCAGGGGTGAAATCCAGCAGGTTCTGACAGGTTCTGGAGAACCGGCAGCGGGAATTTTGAGTAGTTTGGAGAACCGGCAAATGCCACCTCTGGGTTGGCCCCAGATGTTTTGTAATATCCTTCCCCCAAGGAGTGGGGAGGGAATGGGGATTTTGCAGTATCCTTCCCCTGCCACGCCTACTAAGCCCACAGAACCGGTAGTAAAAAAAATTTGAATTTCACAATTGCTCCAACTCATCAGTCTTTGATGAGGCACTGAAGAACCTGGCTGATCCCATGGAGCTAGGCAAGAATAAATCCGTTGAGGCATATTGACCAGGGCAGGGCTGACAACGCAAGGCCGCCCTGGAAACATCTAAGGACAGACACACACACACACACACACACACACACACACACACACACCCCGGTGCCCCTGACAGTGAAAATGGAGCTCCAAGAAATTTCTAGGGAAGA